GGAGGGGGGGGTGCAAAAATGCACCTTGCCTGTGTAGGCAAGGATCCTAGCACTGGCCCTGCTTATGCTACGTATATGTAGCATATAATGCTAAAAAAGAAATTCAAGACAAAAGGTAAATCTTTCAGGTAACTGCTTAGGGACTCTTAACATTTCTAAATGTTCCCTATAAAATAGAAAATCTTCACTTTTTGAGTTCAGGTTCACTTTAATGCAACATAAAACACATCTCCAGGCTATTAAAAACAAAACACCATTTTGCTCTGTTGCTTAATGATTCAGCATATTATAAATAACTGCTATTTATCAATCTTACTTTTCAAAAAATCCTCTACACAGCATACTAAAAGTGGTAAGCCAGGCACTGTAAGTCAGGCAAACTTTATTGTTTTTCACAATACTTCCAGTCTAACACATTTCAAGCACTGGGAACTGAAGAGAACTTGCAAGAAGCTGGCACTTCAGAACTGCCTGATGAAGCTCAGACACAGCTATGGTTAATGGGAATGCAGTGGTGGACGCAGCAGTGGTGAGGTTAGCCCACAAAATTACCCTGCCTATGGAGGGCTTCCTATTGTCCTGAGATGTTTTAGACTGGCAAACTGATCAAGACTTCAAGAAGGCATACCAGTTGCAGTAATGGGTGTGTAGACCAGCCATGGCACTGCCACCAGTGGAAAGGCCTCTTATGGTCAGATAACATAAATGTGATAACCATCACTAATGGAGTGGAGCCCAAGAGCATCATCGGGGCTCTTTCAAGATGCAGAATATAATCTCAGCAGTCCAACCAGAACACTCGCTACTCTCAAATTAAAGGATGCTTATTTACACATTCCCGTTCTTCCTGCCTTCCAGAAATACCTGAGGTGGATGACCTGAAATTTACCAGTCTCAAGTTTGGCCTGTCCACATGCCCAAGGACATTCACCAAGATACTCATTTCCATCTTAGCGCTCCTGCATGAGCAAGGAATACAGGTCCACCATTACTTAGATGACATATTCCTGCTGGCAAACTCCAAAAGAAACCCTAATGAGATATCAGGATACAGTCATTGCCACACTCTAGGCTTTCCAATTGTTGATAATTTGGAAGAAGAAACAGCTAACACCCACACCCTTGTTTCTAAAAGGAGACTTTTTGCTTTCCAGTGTAAAAACGATAATGGAACACTAGAGGGCAACATAATCCTATAACTGATACTAAACATTCAGCTGGCTTGAATGCACTTACAGAAAAATGCTTGGGAGGAGGACTGATGGTGTTGTGGCTGCTTGAATTGATTGCTTTTTACTAGTAGTGTCAAACATTAGCCTATTTAAAGCTCAACTCCAGGCTGCTTTTAAATGTACCCTGGCAGTGGGGTCCCCCCCCCGCACTGCATGGGTTAAATGCTACTTTGGCTACCAGGGGGAATTAAGAAGTAGAAATACTTACATTACTGTTCGCTCCCCTGGCAGCCAGAACTCTGCTTCATGGTCCGACAATTCAGGACCCCAGGAAAG